TAAAAAGTTTCATTTTCTGAAAATGTCCAGGTCCAAAAAGTACCTTAGTTGGAGAATCACCCATATGTTGGCAATCAGTTGAATATTTTATGCTCTTTTCTCAGTGATGGCAAATACACATGGATCCAACGTCAGTGCAGTAAATGATGAGACCGGAACAAAGGCGGATTAAAATGAAAACCCAACAAAGTCTTTCTAAAATATCTTTGCAGAAATGTCAACTACACACTTTAAATGTTCCATGTAGTCAGAAGATGGTAATGTGAATGAGCACAAAGATGATGACAGTTCAAATTCGTGTCCCCAAAGGATCCGTGTCCCCTACAAATCCAATCCACTGAGGATGACAGGAACAAGAAATCAAAAACACGGGAAAAGATAAATATCAAGAAACAGGTAATGTAATGTAATGTAAACCAAACCAAACAAACAAACAAGACTTCATACTGAATGAAGGCAAACGGCATTTAAATAGACAGGGTGATGATCAAATGAAACAAGACACAGCTGAAACAGATAAACTAATAATGAGCAAAGGATTCTGGGAAATGAAATCCGGGAAAAACTGAAGCTGCGTCCCAATGTGCATACTACGCCCTAAATAGTATTGAAAATTACTAATGTCACATACTATTTAGGATGGATAGTATGCACATTGGGACGCAGCTAGAGTCTAATGTAAACGGTGAGGGACTAGGATGCCATCAGTTGGCACATGCAGCTGACAGATGTAACACCTTGCAATAGACTGAAATAAGTTTAAGTTGAAGCTCTACATTTTTTTTACTGGAAATAAATAAAAACTTAAACTGAAATATAGCTAAATTGTATATAAATAATTTAAGCTTAGGTGTCTCTGACTGGGGTTCGCTCTGGTCTGCCTCCTCATCACAGTGGCTGTCATCTGCCAAACATAAGACCACATAAGCCCAGTTTAGCAAACAACTTAAAACATACCTAGACTACTTACAACTACCTTAACAGCAAGCTAATAGAGCAACACCTGTATTAGTGCTCATTCAAATAATCATATTGCATATATTGCTTCCAATTTTTACAAATGCCCCGGGCTAGCAGGGATGAAAAAATACAAATATATCATTAACCCTTGTGCATCCTTATGGACATTTTTGTTCTTTTCAGTTGTTGTTGTTGTTGTTGTTAATCACTTTGCCTGAGTTAATGCTAACTGCATAAAATTTGGCACAGGTTCAACATGTTTCAAAATATATATATATATATTATAGAGCCAATTGGGTAAATTATGCAACGATATTTGTGTGGGTGTGTTGGTATGGATGTCAGAGTGTGGCTAATTAAATATATGCGTGTGTGTGTGTGTGTTTGTAATATTGAGAGAGAAAAAGTCAACAACAATAACAAATCCAATCACTGTGTGCACCAGTGGAGTTTTGCTGGCACCCACTGGGGAAAATCTGCCACTGCGCCCAAAGAAACTCTTACCGAAAGCTCATTTTTTGAGATATATGGCTTTGATTTTCTAGCCGTTTTAGAGTTCAACTTGTTTCACAAAATATATATTTTATATAAAATAATGTTCATAAATAATTTTCATAAACTTAAACCTATATAACTATATTTACTTATATTTTTTTACTTCAGCAATAATCTGCCTTCTTTAAAATGATGCCAAACTTAAGTCTGTGCTCCCAAGCTTAACATTTTTATGACAGTTTTTTGACACGGACATTTTTGTCCTCTATGTAACTTTTTTTAATTGATGCACAAGGGATAAATATACAGAGAGAACAAACTTAAAAGACAGTTGGCTTTGTGTGAGAGCATATATTAACTGTCAAGAGCTAACGAGAGTTAACATGTGTCTGCTAACCTCTGGACACGTCTCCTTTTTTATTTCTGACAGTTCACATCACAATACAACAAGTCTACAATTGAGTAATCTACTAAGAAGTGTCAAACATTCAACCCTGTCACAACGATTCAACCCTGTTATACTAAAAAATGTGACGGGGTTGAAGTTTTTGGCTAATAGTAGCCATAACTCCTTACTTAGCAAAGACAGCAGCACCACATGGCATTTAGGACATATTAAAATAGTAATGTTTTGCAAAACTATTATTTAACTCTTCTCAAACCGTTGTTTACTATCATTTAGCCATACAACAGAGTTGAAATGTTGAGCCTGACAATCTTAATCTGACAGCGAAAAACATGAAATATAGGTAAGAAAAGATACTGACACTTGCCTTTCTTTGCAGCATGTTCTTTAAGGCCGTGTGTCCACCAAAGCGTTTTTAGCCAGCTGAAAACGCTAGCCGCTCTGCTGAAAACGCCTAGCTGTGAGCGCATGAGAGCGTTTTGGAAGCGCTTTTTCCGTTGAGACGTTTCGTTGCTATGATACAGAATATCCGCAGCACAGTTTACTTGTAACTGATTTCGCAGGTAATTTGTTTCATACTAAAAAAATATTTTTCATCCATTTTGTTCGGTTTGCTCTGCTGGTTGATGTCGTTGTACAGAAAGAATGTTGTGACAGTTGGTCGGTGTGATATTAGTCCCGCCCCTCCTCCACTGTGATTGGACGGTTGGTGAAAAGTGACAGTGATGAGCGCTGCGTTTTATCCAAAAGTTGAACATTTTTCAACTCTCGGCGACCAGTAAAAACGCCGGGCGCTCAGCGCTTGAGCGTTAAATACACTTTAGCGCCTCGTTGCGCTCATGGCGTTTAAAAAACGCGGCGCTCCCATTGAAAACAATTGAAAACGTACGCCAGGCGCGAGTAAAAACGCTTTGGTGGACACACGGCCTAAGAGACTTGTGTGATGTCACTTCCTGGATGAGATGCCACAGGGATTGATCCATTATTTTTATAGGGGGGTAAATAGTATGGCGTGACGGGGTTGAAAACAAACTGGAGGACGTGTATAAATATTGCAATTTCATATATAATTAAAAAAAATATATATATATATATGTATATTTTAGTTAAAGTAGACCAACATATGATTATATTAGCGGCAACATTTTGGTATTAATTGCACTTTTTATTTGTTTGATATGCAATGAAAATGTAATGATGGTTAGTGAGGACATGCAAACTTGCTTGTTGTCTACTACTTAAGCAACCCATTATCTTTAAATCAAAATTTTTTTTAAGAAATTGTGTTGCATTATAATGCAAAGGCACCTGGTTCTATTAATTGACATTTTGTGATTTCCTTCAATTGAAAATCTTTGAAGCAAGTTTGGGGGACTTGAAGGGCACCCAATTCAGAGAATCACGAAAAGAACAAACATACGGTCGCTTCGGTGGTTTCTTCAAATGTAAAGCTTTTAACCACAGGCGAAGGGATTCCTCGTTCTTCGGCGGGGGGTGAAGGTCGTAGAGCGCCCCGCATCCACATTCAGCTCTCGTACGCGATCGATGATTACAACACTCCTGCTCCAAGGAAATCTGTCTTTTGTACCAGTTATTATTTATGACAACCTCTAACTGCACAAACAATCCCGGTTTTCCTCGAAGCCATAACGATGAGTTAGTTGTTACGGAGACTTGTTTGATTAACCGCTATGGTGAAAAGTGAGTTAGCTAGACAGTGACCGGAAGTCCCGCACAAAAAAACATCAACTGGCTGTGTCCGTATTTCCGTTAAAAATAAGGTGAATAACACAAGCACATGACAAACCGGGAGTGTCAGAGCTCTGTCACCAAAGCCAGATATAAACCAGACAGAAGTGACAGAACCCTGACAGGTTTCCCAGGGGTCTCTAGAAGAAAGGCATTGTCCAGCTTAAGGTCAGTGTTGATTCATTTCTGTTGTAAAAATCATTCGTTATTAACTGATAATATATAATTGATCTATATAGCCACAAAACAGTGCTGTCATCGTCCAGCTCGGCTCAGTTCTCTTATAATGGTGTAATATTAAGTGCACTCGATAACGTCCACTATGGTTTCGGAGAGCACTACACATGTAGTCCCCTTAAACAGTGCCTTATTTCAGGGTGTGGGGGATATGAGACACGGCCTGTGTGTTCAGACTGGAGTCACTAGATGGCCTCGTTCCTCTGAACACAGTGGACCTGCATGTGTGGCTGGAGAGTGTGTGTCGTGTCTCTGCTAAAGCCATGTTCTCCTGTTAGCATAAATGTTACTGTGGAGAGAGTCTGTCCAGCTCAATAATGCCGATTGTAGATCAATCTATTAATCAACAGAACCACATAAAAGAAAGATCATGCGGCCCACAGCACTGGCATTGAGTTACAGCACACAGTATGAGTGAGCCTTTGTTTTGTGGGTCATGTATGCAGACAAATCACACACACACACACACACACACACACACGGCATGTTTGAGTTTGCACTGGTATGTTATTGACAGAAAGAGTGTGCTGTGAGGGAACGCCAGGCCTCTCCGTCTGACACACACACTCACTCACTCACTCACACACGCACACACACACACACACACACACACACACACACACACACACAAATGTGTGTGTGAGAGAGAGAGAGAACGCCAGGCCTCTCCGTCTGACAGATGTCTGAGGATCGGGTCTCTCCGGCCTGCTGAATGTTCTCTCTCTCTCTCTCACACACACACACACACACACACACACACACACACACACACACCTGCTTTAGTGGACGTGATGATAACAGCGAGACTCTGCAGGACACCTGATGCATTTCTGTACAGATATAATGCATAATGTTATACACTTACAGATTAACTCTATTGTAGTTTTAGTTACTTTACAGATCAAAGTTACAGCATTTCAGTTACTCCGAAGACCAATATACACACATAGCCATACACGGTTTACACTATACAAGTGAAAGAACAATGCAATATATGTAGCTAATATACAATGATAAAACAGTATGCAGGGGAAGCAAGTGTGCATGGCAGTGGCAGTGGAGTAAATATGTATGCTTGTAGAAAATAAGAAGAGTTCAGGACTCAGCCAATCACAGGGCTTAGAGTGGGTCACGTGCACTCTCCGCCCCAGCGCGTGGGTCTCGATAGTAACAGTAACGGTCTTCTTCAGTTCAGTTCAACCGGCAACATGTTCAACAGACTCCAGTTTGACGAAGACCCTTTCTTTTCGTAAGTCTTATGAACTTTTATATTCAATATCTTGCTTTCCTTATTTAGAAATGTGAAAATATAACATTATAACTGTGTGAGACCTAATTTTAGAATAATTTCGAAATCAGCAAATTATGAGCCATTTGTAAATTAGGTTCAGTGAGTCATGATTCAAAATCTCATAATTCAAAATATAATAGTTTTAATTTCATTAGTAGTGCTTGGTTTACTACTTTTTTTTTACTTTAAAAGATGCTCTGTGTGCTGACTGATATAGTTTACACTGTTTGCTCTGTAAATTTGCTCTTTAGTAGTGCAATAAAGGGATAGTCCACCCAAAAATAATTTACTCAGCCTCATGTGTTTCCAACCCGGCATGAGTTTCTTTCTTCTGCTGTAACTTACACAGACGAAGATATTGTGAAGAGTGTTGATAACAAACAGTTGACAGTAGCCATTGACTTTTGTTTGATTGCCAACCGTTTTACTATAGTTTCTAATAACTTGTGCATAATTAAGTTACACGCAACTAACCCTAAACCAAACCCATAGTAAGTACATGTCGTTAATTAATAATACTCAGTACTTAAATGTATATTTACACTGTAAAAAGGACACCTTAAAATAAAGTCTAACCCACACCTTTTACTGTGCCCTTTCATAGGCCTAGATGAGCTAATGTTTAGTGTGATCTCAGGTCTGTCCGAGGTCTTGGTTGTGAAGTCACTGTACAGACATGTGGAGATGGCCAGTGTGCTTTATGCCATTATGCTGTCAATAGAAATTGTAATGATGTTTCTTGTCTCTCTTCTTTCCGTCCTAAAATAGCTCCTCAAGGTAGGCACTTGTGTCCTCGATGCATGCGACGCACTGTGACTGTTAACACAGATGTCTATGAGTTCTAACATTAAAGTCTAGTAGTATTACCATAAACTACACTGGCCCAGCAGTTTGGGAAATTATAAGCATGGCACAGTCTGAATGGGCAAATGGACCACTTGTTTATCCTCACTGCAAGTAGAGCTGTTTAAAGGGGTCATATGATGGTTTTAAAAAGAACATTATTTTGTGTATTTGGTTTAATGAAATGTGTTTACTTGGTTTTAGGTGAAAAAGGTCATTATTTTACACATACTGTACATTATTGTTGCTCCTCTATGCCCCGCCTTTCTGAAACGCGTCGAAACAAGTAAGGTTTTATTTCATTGGGGACATAATTACTTACTGTATATATAATGACTTACTGTCTTTTTACTCGTTGCACTTCGGGTGTGAGAACACTATGTAAACATTGTACTCTCTGGAAACAGTCCTCCGCAGTCGTAGCCTTAACTTTTACAAAGATATCCCTTTGGGTTTGAGGCTTTGTAACTCTGCAGATCTTATACATGCACAAACAGCTACATAACACATTAAAGAAAAATGAAAACAAGAAATCGCATCATATGACCCCTTTAATGTAGTCTTATTGTGTTTCTTGAGTAGTTTGGTTCATGGTTTTTGAGATTGAGAGCACGTCACACACAGCTTGTCCATGTTGACATCAGTGGCCGTTGCATAAACCAGTTAAACTAGTCTTAAAAGTTAGTCATCTACATTTTTTCTTTAATGTACTTTTAGTACTAAAGTCAGTTACATAAAAGGGTTGATTGGTCTAATTTGACTTGGAAAAGTAGGAAACCTCTTGCCTAAGCTAGTTGGTCAAGCTAGTTCTTCAGACACAATCTTAAAGTCCCCCTGTAGTAAATAAATGTATGGCTTAAAACGCAATAACCTTTGTTCACCAAAATTACATATTTAAAAAAGAATTCCTTGAAAAAAATATCTTGAATGTAACTCTGTGGCTTATTTAGTATGTGCGGGTCTATGAATATGCAGATGAGCCCCGCCTCCACTCACTCCCTCAGCTCAGAGATCCACTGGTTGGCGATCACACGTTGATCTGATTGGTTACAAGGTCGTTTGTGACGTCAGAAACACCAGCGATTTCAAACCGTGTGTTTGAGACTGTCTTTGGTTCACTGCAGTTTTAAGCAGAAAATATTCAGCAATGCTGTCGACTTATGAACTTACACATGGTGTGTCTTAAAGCGTATTAAAAACACCACATAGACACATAAACAACATTAAACGCTGGATTTCACCACAGGGGGGCTTTAACAGAGAGGTTTATGCAACTGGCCCCTGTTGTCACGACCCACCAGTTGAGATCCACTGTCAAAGATCAAGATTACAAGCGTGGTTTATTCATCTTATCTTCTGTGTGATGTCCTTCTCCAGCGACCCGTTCCAGGTGCATCATGAGCGCATGCGGCAGATGATGAGGGGTTTCTCTGACCCCTTCGGCCAGGGCTTCATGCCCAGCATCACAGACAGGGGCGCGGGCCAACCTAACACCAGCCCAAACACTCGCACTGACCGCGTGAGTGTTAACTTACTCTCCATTCTTCAGCCTGTGGTGTTGTCCCCTATTGTTGATCCCATCAACCCCTGAATGGCTTTTAGATTTGGCTAATAAAGTTGGGAGTTTCCCCATTCTAGATGCTCATGACTATCATATACAGTCCAGTGCCCAATTGCATAAAGCACCTTAAGTTTCTCCCTTAAGTATGAGACTTAAGGCCTGATTTCCGCTCAGCTAAGGGAATTACTGAAGGGTGTTGCATATAATCCCTCAAACGGTTCTCTTAGCTAAGGGAAACGTTAAGTGTTTCACAGCAGCGACCCAGGTTTGCCGTTATAAAATTCGATTGCTGCCATGGACAAGTTATTTGTTAATACAGATAGCGGCAAGTTTCACAGAAAACAGCATAACATGGATAAGGACAAGAAAAAAGAAAACCATATATGAAAGAGAAGGACCAGACAAGACAGAGACCATCTTGGTCTAAAAGACTCATTCATCTTTAGACACAAATAAAGATGATTTTGGTATTCGCTCATAGGGCTGGGCGATATGGCTGAAAACTGTATCACGATATCAGTGTTTCATATCGGTCGATATCGATAATTATTGATTTTTTTATGACCCATTTAAAATAAGGACCAGGAGAAAAAATATATTACATTTAAACATTTTTATTTTAAACTTAACCTTCCTCTGATTACAATCCCAAGACAGAAATGTCAACACAACCATGGAAAACTCAAATAATTAAAATGTAAACATAAGTCTAAATTCACAATCAGACCTGCAAACTCCTCAGAGTAAAAAAGGTGACAGTGGCGCGGCGGGACGTGGGTGGTGGGGGTTTGTGATCGTATGTGCCCCCTGCTTGATTTTTTTTTTAGACATCACGGTTCGGTACGATTTCGGTACAATGGAGTGAAAAGCAAAACAGAAATATAGAAGGCATTTTTATAAATGTCTTAAGCCTTGTATTTTTTAAATAAGTTTTATTAATAAAGGCATAGAACCAGTTTATTTATAGTGCACTGATAATAGTTTTATATAATTGGTTTATTAATTAAACTAATAAAAAGATAGATATGAGATATGTTTGGTAATTGTACCTGAATGAATTTAAAATTAATTTGCTATATTTCAGATCAATATATTTGTTTTCCTTAATTTTAATTAACCCTAACTTTATTCTCATCAGAATTATAAATAATTGATTTCCGTATAAAATAATACTACCAATAAATTTAATTTTCTTTTTTAATCAATGTGTAACTTAAAAATAAACAGATTAGTGGTCTGTTTTGAGGGCAAGAAATGAAAACCAATGCGATATGATGAATGTCCAAAAGATGGAACACACAGACTGTTTTACAAAGGGGTTGGATAAATATGTTTTGCTTTTAAAACGGTGTGTACAGTTGTAGGCTACAGTTTGACAAGAAATACAGTGTGACAAAAGGACAATGTTGTGTTTTATTGCGAGTATAGGCCTACACAAATATTGTAAACACTTTGCAGACTGACTGATGTCCTGTATTAACAAAATGACGGAGTATGTTTTTATGTCTCCACTGTTCGATCGCGCCCGCGTGTCTCTCTCTCTCGTGCCTCTCTCTCTCGCGCGCGCGGAGTCGGACACACACACACACACACACACACACACACACACACACACACTCCAGCATTGCAATCTTGACATCGCAGCCTGTTCATTATGCTGTGTTCACATCAAACGCGAATAGAGCGAATTATCCAATAATGTTTCGCAATTCTAGCCTGCATGGCATGCAGATGAAGGGCACTCATTTTCTGCTTATCAATCGCCGGTTACTGATGAGGAACCCAGTAGCACGAGACAACGATGGCGGAACCAAACTTTTTTCTTTTTTTTTGATGGCGCAACCAAACTGACACGTTACATGATTGCCTGAGCTTGTCACTCCCTACGTTGCTAGGTTACCAGAGAGCGAGTGCCTTTGTTAATGCAAACTTGCTTCGCAACCTGTGGTTTCTTCCGACGAAGAAAAAAAAAAAAATTATCGAACGTTTTATCGAACACATTTTTTATTGATATCGATCACGTGTCTATCGCGATACATATCGTTATCGTTTTATCGCCCAGCCCTATTCGCTCATCATTTCTGTCCATTTATTCAAAGTCATAAAAGTAATCCATATCTGTTAACCACATAAGATGTGCTTTATGTGTTTATATATGAAAAAACATCAAAATTAAAATTAGTTTATCATATAAAGCGGCTGATCGCGTCTCGTTAGAAGACTTGGACTGAACCTGCTCGCTCCGTGCAACACTTAAGGTGAAGTTTCCCAAACCTTATGTTATACTTAGGGAAATTACAGTTGAAAATTACATTTTTTAAGGGAAATTCTTAGGGTGTATGACGTTCCTCCTAAAGAAACCCTTAAGTAACCCTTAGGGGTTATTTTTTGCAACAAGTTTAAGGGAAACCTAAGGGCGTTCTTAAGGGGAAATAACACTTAAGGTGCTTTATGCCACCGGGCACAGAGATTTTATCTATCTTCTTCACTGTCTCAGTTACAGGATTTGTAACCGCCAATTGACCATGATGACCTTCATGAACTCCTTGCTTACTGTGAAACTGAGTCTTCTGGTGTCCTGGAGTGATGTTTGTAGGTCATGTCCAGGCTAAAGCTCTTTTATTTAATTTTCAATCATAAGCTTGATAGAGATAGGAGCTGCACTAGCATGCCCGAGAGGCGTTTCAAAGATGGCCGCCGAGTGAAATGACTTGTCTTAAAGGGACTTTGGCGTCTGTCGGGCTAGTTTTCACAGTGTGTTCCACACATCGGCTCTAGTCAGGCTCATGTTGCAGGCAGTTCACACGATTCAGCATGCCGAATGTAGTCTAGACGGCGAAGACTAAGACTATTCTCCTCTCTTCAAATATAAAAAATGTTAGCCTTTATGAACAGAGTTTCTTAAAACGCTGTATTTACTCAAACATTAGTTGTTTATTTTCCCTTGCATTGCAAAGAAGCCGAGATCACTCTAAATGGAGGTGCGATGAAGTTTGACTGACAGTTTGAGGAGCCCATGGTTTAGTCACAACCTCTTTTAAATGCTTTTATTGCTTAAATATTTGTAAACCCCACATCCAGACGTAAAGGATGACCAATAGCGTTAATTTGATAAAACAATGACAAAATATGGAGAGATTCAATGTTTCGACAGCACAATTAAATTCTTATTTGTAGCATTTATTTTTAGTCATTTTTTGGAATTTAATAATTTTCCATGGCACAACTGACGAGCGACAGTAGTGTGTCGCGGCACAGTGGTTGGGAAACACTGATATAGACAGATATTTACTGACATGCAGGAGCAGAAAGGCTTCAACACAGTCAGCTTTCGTCACCGCTAGCTCTTTTATGCCAGTTTGGTGTGTCACGGCCTTTACTTGCTCAAGTCTAGATGTGGGATATTTTCAGCTGTGTTCTGGTCCAGCAGGTGAAAACGGTGTGTCTGATTCACTTACTAAAGTAGCAGCACGCTCTCCTCAACCACACACATGATCTGAGGAATGTCCGTAGTAAGAAAACAAACAACAACAGTGATGCAGGACGAGTTACACACCACACTTTCTCAAGTTGCCCAAGGTTAGGGGATTGTTTAGATCACTAACTATGAGCAATAGCACTAGTAATGCATTATTACTAGCCACAAAAAATTCCTTCTTGATAAAGAAGTGTATTCTAGCACTAACCTTTAACTAAACGCTGCTTTAAGTTGTTATCTTGCTGTATGCTAACAGCCTGCCCGCGGTGGACAGCGTGTCACAGTCCAGCTGGCCACTTTGGCAGCTCAGAGCGCTAAACTTAGTCCCCCTGTCCATCTGTAGTTCCCCACCTCTCTCTGCTCAGTATATTTATCCCGGCTAATTTCTTTCATCTGATGCCCGTGTAAACGCCAGCGAGAGGCGGTAAAGATAGCATGCTCACCCATGGGTCAGGGCTTTTAGATGAGGTTTGGGTTGTTTTGGGGTCAGGGATGGATGGTACATGCTAGCACCTGCGGAGCCAGATGTTTGACTAGCAGCATGAAATCTGGTCTACTTTGTTGCTTATTTTGGCCAAGAACTGCCATTTTGAGAAAAACATAGCATCTGACTAGCTAACATACAGTGCCTTCGTGCAGTGACCAATCATGGTTGGGTTGTTACGTGCCGTTTAGGGGTGTACAATTTGGGTTGCAATAGATGCCACAATATAGAGCAACAGCAGGATTCTGGAAGTGAAAATCACATATATTTCCTCCAGTTAAAAATGATTGTTAAACGATAATATATAAACTTTTGAGACACAGACCTGCCATGGTTCTGAGGTGGTAAAAAAAAGCAATAGACAGACCAGTTTGAGCCAATCGCATGAGCTGTAAATGTCATGTGACTAATGACTTCTCAATGTTCTCTGATTTTTTATCGAAATGTGCGTACACTGTACACTGACTTTCTGTTCATCCATAAGTATTGATTATTTCTTAGACATAGCCGAATATACAGCTCTGCTTGTGGGATATCAGTCAACTAAACACAATGCATTGGACCTTATTTATCAATCTAACGTAGAAACGAGCGCCAAAATCATTTTACGACAGGGTTCACGTGTGATTCATGAAACATTCAGATGCTGCCAATCCCATCGTACGAATGATCGCACGTTCATTCGTCATTTAAATATAACCCCCTTACAAATTCACGGTTTAGATCCTCGCCCCTAGAGTTTTCGACACGAGAGAAAACGGAGGGAGTATCTCATGAACGAGTTGATAAATGGCTGAAAACAATCGTCAAACTAGGCTATTTTCCCCTCACTCCTCAACCAATTTAACAGTATTCAAAACAGAATAAGAATGAAAAATAAGCTATGAATTATATTATATATTAGTAAAGTTCAAATATATTTTCCAAGTAGACTTTATGTAGTAAGTATATTAATATCAGCACTAATAGTATACTTGTACCATTTTGTGGGTATAT